GAGCCAAGATCGCGCCACTTGCCACTCCAGCCTGGGCAACAAGACAAAATTCGTGTCTCAAAAAAAAAAAAAAAAAAAAAAAAATTAGCCAGGCTAATAATGGGTGTGCACCTGCAGTCTCAGCCACCTGGGAGACCGGGCAGGAGGAACTCATCACTTGACTCCCCGAGGTCCGAGGCTACAGTGAGGCTATGATCACACCACTGCATTCCAGCCTGGGCCAACACAGCAAGATCCTGTCCTTAAAAAATAAATAAAAGACATGTCTTTTACTAATTTAACAGTCAAACTTTGTTCAATGGTGGGAGGGATCTTAGAAGTTATCTAGTCTTGGCCGGGTGCGGTGGCTCCACGCCTGTAATCCCAGCAACTTTGGGAGGCCGAGGCGGGCGGATCACAAGGTCAGGAGATCGAGACCACGGTGAAACCCTGTCTCTACTAAAAATAACAAAAAAATTAGCCGGGCGCGGTTGCTGGGCGCTGTAGTCCCAGCTACTCGGGAGGCTGAGGCAGGGAGAATGGCGAGAACCCGGGAGGCGGAGCTTGCAGTGAGCTGAGATCCGGCCACTGCACTCCAGCCTGGGCGACAGAGCGAAGACTCCCGTCTCAAAAAAAAAAAAAAAAAAAAAAAGAAAGTTATCTAAGTCTTGAGGCCCCAAATTTGCAGCCTCAACGATTAGACAGGGCAAGGTGGGGTGAGGTCAGTGAGAGCTCACAAGCTTTGTCATCTGACAGGTAGCTAGCCCTCAGCTCCTTCTGCTCCCCTCCACGGTGACTTTTTTAAACCCAAATCTACGTCTTTATTCCTATTAATTTTTTAAAGCTATATAGCTCATCATTCTACACATTAAGATCTTTGCAATTCTGACCCTGCTATCAAATATATCTGTTATACATGCCACATCTTTATCAAAACCACTGGCACGGCAACAGAAGACCTTCACAAAGAGAAGAGCAGGAGGAGGAAAAATCAGAGGCAGTAAATGTAGATAATGTTTAGAGGTTCACTGTAAGAGAGAAATGGGGTGGTAGCAGGATAGGGATTTGGTGGAGAGATTAAGCGGTTTTTAAAAAATACTCAAACATTTATAGGCTAATGGAAATAATCATTCAAATGTGAAGGAAAAACAGTATGTAAAAACATGTTATAAGCTGTAAAGTTCAACATAAATATAATTTATTATATATATCCACTTTTCTCTTGCCAGGCTATTTATGTTAAAATTTGATTTTTAGAGCCTCCAGCTCTTTCTGAATTCTCCTTCTGAATATTCAGAGACCCTGCTCCCATGATCATATCTCCTTTTTCTCTGAATATTTTGAAATCTGCATCCAATAGCCCCTGCCTTTGCTGTTATAAATTCAAACATTACATGACCCCTTTCACCCAAATCTTGTTTTCACATCAATCTCCTCCACTGTTTATGAGAATTTCTAAAAACCAATTTCAGATTCGTTAAAGGAACCATCAAAGGCGTCATCTAATAGGATTACATTTTTAAACATAAAAACCTAAGATTCACTTTTTTGAGTTTTATTGCATCCCTAAGCAAGTTAACAAAAAAAGGTTTATTATTTGGTAAAATTATTCTCTAAGGGTGTAACATCCAATCCTGAAAATTTCTATGCAAAGCAAGAAGTGGCCGATACTAAATTCTTTCCCAGCAGCACATCTGCATACATAATCACATCACCAACACAGGCTTTCTCCTCTCCCAACCCCCACTCCAGGCTCAAACAAAAAGTTAGTGTGCACACACAGAAAGCACATTTACAATGTCTGCTCCACAACAGACCCTGCTAGGCTGCTCTGCAGAGGTACTAAATAGTTTGCTCCTAGTTCTAAGCTTACTATTTGAGTAAGTAATAAAGAAGCAACGGTGATCTGTGCATAAATACACGACACGTTCCTTCAAAACTCCATTTCTAAACACAAATTCTTTACCAGTTAAAATACAAAATTTGTTAGCCCCAGGCAAATGATTCTACACCCACCAATGCATTCCACTTAATGGCAAAGACATATTTTTAAAGTAGACTTGTTCATAAAGTATCTCATAAAGTATACTACATGAAGTATAGCACTTGCCAAAATATACTTTTAAAATACCAAAGTGCCTAAGAAAAAAAAAATTGACTATTTGTTCTTTAAAGGGATAGGACAAATAAATCTTATTCAGAAATTCACACGCGATAGTAGCACTGCAAAGCAGACAGAAAGGTTTCTGGTTTCATAAATCAATCCACAGCTTTAAAATGAGCCATCATGTTAAACTCTAGGAAAACTATAAAGTTCTTTTGTCTTTATGTTCATTTCTATCAAACACCCTCAAAACAAATTTTCATAGATTTCACATAAATTGGCCACAGCTGTTTTTGGACCAGGACCTGTCTCATAACTTTCTGTGTAATCTGAACATTACTTTGCTTAGTGTCAACACATAGTAAGTCCTCAATAAACATGTCAAGAATTCTCCTCAATTCAAAATTATAAGAGCATCAAAGTCATAAGGATGCACTATTTTTTCTAAAACTAAAAAACTGTGAAACTCATTAAATCAAGATTATAATGTAAAATATCCAAGTATTCCAATTTTAAATCATTTTCTTAAACACGAATAATTTTAACAGACACATATCACCACTTCTGTTTCTAAAATAAATTCCTACGTTCCTGCTGCAACAGCAGATTTAGATTTATATAAACCCATAGGTTTAGAAACTAATGACAGGCAGACTAACTTATAAAGATCCCCAGTAGAAGCTATGCTTTATAGAGACGGATTTTTTTAAATCTGTTTTGTTCACTGCTGTTGCCTCTCCTTCACCAATGCCTTGGCACACAGGATTTCAATTAATATTTGCTGGACTGAAAAACGGCATATGTGTGTGAAGACCCTTGGTACAAAGCCAGACTCAGACCACCTGTAGGATCCCCCACCCCCAACCCCATCCCCCTGAGAAAACCTGGAGCAGGCCCATGTGGGACGGACACAAAATGACCCCTAGAGAATCAAGGAAAGGGAGACTAAACCTCAAGGGGACTGACTTCACACTCAGTCTTCACACACTGCCCAAATGTGTTCATTCTGTTGCAGTGTCTAAAACCTCACCAACTGAGAGATTCCTTTAGGTTACCAAATCTCCTCTTTTCAGAATTAAGGAACCATTTAAACCTGTCAACAACCTTAAGAGATGTACATTTCATCATTCCATTTTACAGATGAGGAAACTGAGGCTAAATGGCAGAGTTACTTTTCCAGTGTCACACAATATATGTAGAGCACAGGCCTGACTCAGAACCTTTCATCCTACAGCGCTGCCTCCCCAATGAGAGGGGAACAGGACTAACCTTCATTCACACCTCAATACATGAGCTGGTTCCCAATACCCTTCTACAGAAACACCTAAAGCAAGCTTTCTCAAAGACGGGGCTTTGGTTTGGGGTGACAGCAAGCAACAAGTAGTTGAAGCACAGGAACACTGTGGAGGCAAGGATCTGAAGTTCCGACCATGGATTTGGGGTGCTTGAGGGAACCAAGCCTCAAAGACAAACCACAAATTTCACAACACTGCAGAGGGCCAGCCCTTGCTCCAGAACAGCTTGCCTCCCTCTTCCTCTTTCTACCCTTCCACGTGACCCTCACGGTTCTCCCCACCAGAAAAGAGGCTACCATTGTTAGTTGCCAGAGTCTGGCCACACTGTGCATCTCAACCACAGTGACTGGCACAGAGCAGGAACGCAAATATTTACTGAATGAACCCAAGACAAAAGTTGTTTCTGTGGCCAAGCTGGGACCCTAACTGCCATTTTTTAACACAGTGGAGATGAGATATGCGCCTGAAGCACCTGATTACTGGTGTAAAACGGACTTTTAAAAGCCCAGTCTGAGTTGGGGACAGGCTACAGTAAAAGCCTTCTGTGATTATTTTTCCCCAGCCAGCCTGTCTCAAAGAAGAAAACAGCTTGGCACTTTGGCATACAAATACAGACCTCAGAGGGGCATAATATGCTAATATCTTAAGAGTGTAAAAGCAAACCATTTACTTGATTTAGGCTGCCTACTTTAGGTCATCCTAACATGAACAGCAGTTTAGAGAAGAAAAATCCCCTCCCAGCATTCTCAGGGTGACAATGAGGGTGGCGATAATAGCAGGTATTTCCCAAAAGTTCAAAGTGGGCCAAAACCCAAAAAATCATATTCCGCGATGTGCAAAACGTTTCCTTCAAACCATGACTAATAACTTAAACAAATACATGTTTACACCAAATAATTCACTAAACAAAGCCCATGTGTATAGGAAAACATGACATTAAGTCAAATGGTTTCAAAGACAATTCTTGAAAATTTTACCTATTTCCCTTTTGGTCGGCACCCGTGACCTGAAAAGCCTTGGCTAGTAGTTCTGATTAGTATCAAATCCTCATAATGTGACATTTTTAGGCGTCAAATTACAGTAAAACTACTAGGGCAAGAACAGGAGCCAAAAGCAACAGGGAAGATGTCCATTTTCCTCTTACACCCCCCGCCTCCATTTACCACTTAACGGCACGTTTTTATGTTAGAAAAGGGCCGCATCCTTCGGGATCCAGCGCAGCGTTAAGTCCGTGTTTTCAGGAACAAACCTGCCGCTTCCAAAATACAGGCTGAGATGTCCTCCCCATGAATTAGTTTTGCGCTCTTGCACCACCTCCTTTGTCTACGCTGTCCCTGCAAACTCCTAGCTCAATGCCCTCCAGCAAACAAGCTGCTGAACGCAAAGACGACCGTTCCAAGTCTTTTTTCAAAGAAGGGGAAAACCCAATCACGCTCCTGAAGCCTGGTTCCCACGGGAGCAGGCCGGGCTGTCCACGACGGAAGCCTCGACCCCGGCTGGGGCCGTCGGCCCGGCAGCGCGCAGCGGGAGAGCCAGGGCCAGAGCCGGGGCCGGGAACCCTAGCCCGGCCGCCTCCGCGGGATGCAGCGACCACCGCCCGCCGCCCCCGGGCCGGCACTCACCTCCGTGGAGGGGCAGCGGCGCCAGCACCTGGCCGCGGACCTCGGCCTTGGGGGAGTCCAGCCCGTAGCGCCCGCGGTCGATGCGGAACGTGAGCGGGGCTCCGCGGCCGGGCTCCTGCACCGTCACGTTGATGAGCGCCGTGTAGTACTCCTGGCTCGCGTTGTCTGCCCGCGCCGGCCACAGGCTGCAGGTCAGCAGGGCGAGCGCGGCGAGCCGGGCAGGGCCCGCCCGCCCCGCGCAGCTCATCGTCCCTCCGGCCGCCGCCGCCGCACGCCGCTCGCGGACCGGGCTCCGGGCCGGCGCGGAGAGCGGGGCGGGCGCGGCCCGGGCTGCGGCAGGCGCGCGCGCGGCTGCGCGGGGCCGAGCCCGAGCGCGGCCGCTCCCTACCTACGGCCCCGCCGCTCGCCGCCCTCACGTCCGCCGCCCGCCCGTGGGGACGCGCCCATGGGCCCTCGGCGAGGGCGGCGTCTCAGGTCGCACGCGGGCGTCTCTTCAGGGTCCCGGGAGGGCTGCAGGAGCGTGCCCCCTCCATCCCCCCGGTCGGTCCCGCCGAATGGGAGGCGCCTCCCAAGGACGCGGCGCGGGAGGGGAAGGGCGGCACGGGAGGAAGCGCCCCCAGGAGGGTCAGAGGAACACAAAGTCCCTCTCGCGCGGCTGCCGCCTGAGGCGCGCGTCCGCCGCCGCCCCGCCCCCGGCTGGTCTAGCGGCAACGCACAGGCCTGAAGCGCAGCCCCGCCCCGCGCGCATGCGTGCGAGGGCCTGTCCGCTCCCGCCCGCCTGCACGAGGGCGCGGGCTGCCGGGTCACCCGCCGGCGCTGCCTGTTTCTCTGCCGGGCGTGATGGCCGCAGGGCCTGGAGCCCGGGAGATCTGCGAGGGCATATGGAAATGTGTGAGAACAGACTACAAAAGAAAAAAAGTTCTAACTTTAAAATAAGTGTTTAAAATTAAATGTCATGAGACCTATCGTTCATGTCATGGTTGACCTCATGGATGGGGGATGTCTGGCCCGAACCTGCAGGGACACGAGTGGTTGGGAAACGCCAATAGGGCAGCAGTCCCTAACCTTTTGGCACTGGGGGACGGGTTTCCTGGAAGACAGTGTTTGCAGGGACTGAGGGAAGAGAAGTGGTTTGGGATGAGGCTGCTTCACCTCAGATCATCAGGCGTTAGATTCTCCTAAGAAGCGCGCAGCCCAGATCCCAGCACGCGCAGTTCACACCGGGTTCGCGCGCCTATGAGACTCTACTGCCGCCCTGATCCGACGGGAGGCAGAGCTCAGGCCGTAATGCTCGCTCGCCTCCTGCTCGCTCACTGGTTCCTCCAAGGCCGTGGGCACGGGTCCGCGGCCGGGCGGTTGGGAAGCCCCTGCTCTAGTGACTGGGTGAAATACTCCAGGGGTCCCCGGACCATGAGAACCCCACCAACACCTTCCCAAACGCGCGCACACACGACTCTCACTTTCTCTCTCCACAGCGTGTAAAAGATGTACATCGCTCTAAAGTATCAACTGAAAGGAAGAATGGGGCCGTGCAACTGACTTCAGGAACTTACAGGATCTTTGTGGGGAGGCGGAGGGGGAAAGTTTGGCGTCTTCTGACCAACCAGGGTTGAGTCTCCTGTCTCCTATAGCGGGAAGTGGGTGGAGTCAGCTTTGCGCAACCAACTGTCCTGAAAATCCGGAAAAGAGGTAACTCCCCAAAAAGAAATTTGAGGCACTGTTTCCAGGAAACGGTACGGATGCAGTGCAAGCTAAAACTTAATATGTCCACTACTGGCCAGGCTCAGTGGCTCATGCCTGTAATCCCAGCACTTTGGGAGTCCTACGTGGGAGGTTCACGAGGTCAGGAGTTCGAGACCAGAATGGGCAACATGGTGAAACCCCGTCTCTACTAAAAATACAAAAATTAGTGGGTCATGGTGGTGCGCGCCTGTAATCCCAGTCTGTAATCCCAGCTAGTCGGGAGACTGAGGCAGGTGAATCGTTGGAACCTAGGAGGTGGAGGTTGCGGTGAGCTGAGATCGCGCCACTGCACTCCAGCCTGGGCGACAGAGCAAGACTCCATCTCAAAAAAAGAAAAAAAAAGAAGACAGATGTCCATTATTGATGACTTGGTGACATCCTTCACAATTTCTCCCTCCATTTCCCTCTCTTCCACCCTCTACCATAGTCCTTATAGACCATGCCCTGGCCTATGGATAACGGCTTTTTCTTTCTTACTTATCCTCAACAAGCACAGCCCCTAGACCAAAGCAGTGGGATCCCTACCCTGGGCCTGGCCTTTAAAGAGTGCTCTGATCTGGTCCCCCTCCAGCTGGGCCCTTCATAGGGCAGGGAGTCCTTAGCACCAAGGTACCCATGCTCTAGCACCCAAGACCCAAATATTCCTTGCCCCCACAACCCGGGGCCACGTCTAGGGCCTGTGTGGGGCTCTTTCCGGTGAGGGTCTCCTGTCTTCTCACTGGGTATGCCCTGGCCTACCCCTGCCCGAGAGGCTCATGGCCTCTACTCCTTTGTCCTTATAAGGGAGGAGTCTTCAAACTGTAAGATGCCCACAACCCCTGGCACAAGAAACAATTATAGAAGCTCACAAGCACCACTTTGTTAATCAGGTGGGGAGGAAGTGGCTTTCTCAACCTTTCTGAATTTGTCAGGGAGAAAGTTGGTTCCAGAGCACCTTTAACACCTCCCTGGCACTTGGCGATCTCCTCTTTAAATAAAGCGAGATGAGGTCTCAGTGCACAGCCTCATCAGGCACCGGCATGTACGGCGACATTCACACCAGCCTGTACTTGGAAGTGGCATTGTCTTTTAAGGAGACCTTAAGGGGTTTTGTTTGTTTGTTTGTTTGTTTTTTGTTTTCCCAGGCTGGAGTGCAGTGGCGTGGTCTCAGCTCACTGCAAGCTCTGCCTCCCAGGTTCACGCCATTCTCCTGCCTCAGCCTCCCGAGTAGCTGGGACTACAGGCGCCGCCACCACGCCTAGATTTTTTTTTTTTTTTTTTTTTTTTAGTAGAGACGGGGTTTCACCGTGTTAGCCAGGATGGTCTCGATCTCCTGACCTCGTGATCCACCTGCCTCGGCCTCCCAAAGTGCTGGGATTACAGGCATGAGCCATCGTACCTGGCCAAGGAGATCTTAAGGTTTTAAGGAGACCTTAGGGAGACAAGAGGTTTTTCATTTATAATAGTGAGACAACGCTACCTTTTAAAATATTGTGGTAAAATATGCATAACATAAAATTGTCCATCTTAACCATTTTTAAGCATATGGATCAGTGGCCTTAAGTACATTCACACCGTTGTGTAACCTTCATCATCCGTCTCCAGAACTCTTTCCATCTTGTAAAACTGAAACTCTGCACCCGTTAAACCTTCCTCCTCCCCCAACCACCATTCTTCTTTTCTGTCTCTATGATTTTGATGATTCTAGTTACCCACATCAGTGGAATCATAGAGTATTTGTCCTTTTGTGAGTAGGTTATCTTGCTTTGCCTGATGTCCTTGAGGTTCATCTCTGTTGAAGTACATGTCAGATTCCTCCTTTGCTAAGGCTGAATCATGTCACATTTTATGTATATACCAAGTTTTTTTTAGCCATTCATCCATTCCACTGTATGGATATAATACATTTTGTTTATCCATTCATCACAGGACACTTGGGTTGCCTCTACCGTTTGGCTATTGTGAATAATGATGCTATGAACATGGGGCGTATAAATATCCCTTAATGCTTTCAATTCTTTCGTGTATATACTCAGAAGTGGAATTACCAGATCTAATGGTAATTCTATGCTTAATTTTTTCCAGGAACTGCCCTACTTTTTTTTTTTTATACAGTGGCTGTCCCATTTTACATTCCCACCAACTGCCCAAGGGTTCCAGTTTCTTCACATCCTTGCCAACACTTCTCTATTTGTTTTTCAAAATAGTAGCCATCCAAATCGGTATTAGGTGGTATCTCTTTATGGTTTTGATTTGCATTTCCCTAATGATTAGTGGTGTTGAACATCTTTTCATGTGCTTATTGGCCATTTGTATATCTTTACATGATGTATATCTTTTAAAACATTTAAGAAAAAAGTGAATTAATTAAAAGTATTGGTTAAATAAAAGCACGAGTGGTTTTATTGGACATGGCAGGTCTCATGGAGGATGTGTGCCGCAGTCTGACTCTGGCCCACGCTGGCCTATGAATGAGCTGCCCACGAGCCTTTTTCCTTAATGGGGTTATTTCCCTGACTCCACCACGCACCACATTCCCCTGCCTCTGTGTCCATTTCTCAGCCCACAATACATCCTAGGTCACCTGTAAGCCCCAGCTCAAATTCCCCTTCTCCCCAGAACTCCAGTGGGGCCCCAGCTGCCAGCCTCCCACATCCAGGCCCCGTGAGAGCTTCAGTCCTTCAGAAGAAGAGCTGTCTTCTCTGTGAGCAATGTCTGCCCTCCCAGGACAGCAGAAGGGGTAATGTGTGTGTAAAGCATGCTGCACAGAGTTTGGGACTCCAGCAATCAGAGGCCAAGCAGCGTCCCCTGGACAGTGCTAGATACCCCGGTGAGTCGCCCAGATTTCCCAAAGTTCAACTCCTGTTCCTCCTCCTCTTCCTTTTCTTTCTTGAATGGCACATAATCCCCACTGTTCCTAGGAAGGCCCTGCTCTTACTTCATTACTGATATGTTCCCTTTTATCACCATTTCTCACTGCATTCCTTGACCCATAGGAAACCATTTTCGTGTGCTTCATGTGTCTCTTTTGTTTGTGTTCTTGCAAAATGCATGTTGTTGCTTAATGTGCATGTGCTTTTTAATTATTAAACTGTATTGGGTCATTGATGTCATTCTGTTTCTGATCCTCTTCACCCAGCGCTATATATTTTTTTACTTCTTTCATACATGTATTTTTTATACTGCAATATAACATACATATAGTAAAGTGCAAAATTTTTATGTGTACAACTCAACATGTTTTTTATGAGGTGCAAACACCCTTTACCCATTATCTAGATCAAGATGGAGAACATTACTAGCACTCCTGAAAGTTTCCCTGAGCTTCTTAGTCGTGAGCACCCCACCATTCTGATTTCTTTTCATCTTTCTTTAGAGACAGGGTCTTAGCCTGTCAACCAGGCAGGAGCGCAGTGGTGCAATCATGGCTTCCCGCAGTCTTGAACTCCTGGGCTCAGCAATGCTCCCACCTCATCCTCTTGAGTCGCTGGGACTACAAGTGTGCACCACCATGCCCAGCTACTATTCTGATTTCTGTTGCTTTTGATTAGTTTGCCTTTTGTTGAACTTTATATAATATAAATAGAATCACACAATATGAAATCTTTGGTGTCCTGTTTCTTTTTCTTAACTTATGTCTGTGAGATTTTGTGTTTTTGTGTGTGTAGTTATAGTTTGCTCTTTTTATTCTCTGTATAGTATTCCACTGTTGATTTATCCATTTCCTGTGGATGGGCATTCATATTGATTTTTTTTGGGAATGTGATGGATCGAGCCATTATGAAGCCTGCATGCCTTTTGGTGGGGATGCGTCTGCATCTCTGAGAGTGTCCTTTGCAGTGGGATGATGCGTCACAGGCAGGCATGTATTTAGTGTTGGTAGGCACTGGGCGCCATCTTTCCTTTTTCTTTTTTCTTTTTTTTTTTTTTGAGACGGAGTCTGCTCTGTCG